AGAGAGAGAGAGAGAGAGAGAGAGAGAGAGAGAGAGAGAGAGAGAGATCTGTGGGACAGCATGGATTAACCATGAAACCATGATGCTAGGAAAGAAGCCAGTCAAGAAGGACCCCAGCATGTATAAAGTCACATATTTGAAGAAGTGGGAAGAGACACATCCATAGAAACTAGCGCTTTCTGGAGAGTAGATTGGCTGGTGTGTACGACACAGAATGATAGAGACACAGTGGTTCATTTTTTTAAGTTTTTATTTATTTATTTACTATATGTAAGTACATTGTAGCTGTTCTCAGACATGCCATAAGAGGGCATCAGATCTCATTACAGATGGTTGTGAGCCATCATGTGGTTGCTGGGAATTGAACTCATGACCTCCGGAAGAGCAGTCGGTGCTCTTAACTGCTGAGCCATCTCTCCAGCCCACAGTGGTTCATTTTAAGGTGATGAAATCTTGCAAATTGATTGTGACAGTGACTGCACAGCTCTACATCAAAAGTATTTATGGTGTTGAAAGGTTTATGGTGTGTGAGTTATTTGGTTTTGTTTGCTTTTTATGTTTTTATTTTTATGGTTCAATTAAAAAACAAACAAACAAACAAAACAAAACCCCAAAACCACCTAATCTCAAGCCAAACCTTCTTGACAGTTGACTTACACTGTCTTGGATCCAAAATGACATGCCTGGACATGGGACACAGGTGACAGAGAAGTGGCTTGGTGAAAAGTGGGACTTAGGCTTACATGTGTTTTCACAGCTATGACAGTGTCAACTAGTCTGGTGCTGTCCAATATGGTGGCCTTTAGCCACATGTGACCACTGAGCACCTGAAATGTGGGTGGGTGGCCCAAATGAGATGACTAGAGCACACACCAGACTTTGAAGGCTTACACACACACACACACCCTAATTGATAATGTTTTGTATTAGATATATATTTTTTATGTTGTAAAATATATAATTTTAATGCTTTAATTACTTTTACAAATTCTAAAAGCCATATTCTCTGAGAGTAAAAGGTTTCTTTGGGAGGGTGGCTATATTGATACATGGGTATGTGTCATTGCAAATTCATGTTTGTTAAGGGTTATCCATCAGATATCAAGAGAGGAGAGAGAAAAGGTGAGAGGCTGCCCACAGAGGGGAGGAGAGTGAGGTTGGAGGGAAATGGCATGCTGGGATTTTGCCTCGGGCACCACTTAACTTCCTTTTTTGAGTAGCTTTCTCTTTAAACAGAGTACCTTTTATTCTTTGACAATATGCATGTGTGTAATGTCTGTTGATCATATCTACTCCAACTCCCCCCCCCCAACTCTCCCAGGTACCCCCAACACACACCTTCAGGCCTTCATGTCCTCCTCCCCTGCCTCCCCTCCCCTTTAGTGCTGCCTGTTGGGATGCCGAGTGATGTTATTGCTTTGGATTTTTTGTGCAGATCTTGGGTGAGCAGCCATAGCTGCTGTGAGTTCATGGGTGTGGCTTCATGTCCTGAAGCCAGCATTCCACAGCTTCCTCCATCCATGACATACTCCATGCTTCGTCTACCACTGTTGCCTGAGCCTTGGGCAAGGGTTCATACCAATAATGTCCTTCTTAGGGTCCTCTTTAGGGCTGAGCATCCAAGAGTCACTTACTCACAGCACTTTGACACAGTAGGAGTCTCCTCATTAAGTGATGACCTCTGCCGACAGAGACTCCTCTGACCGAAGTGGAAGGCACTGCTAATCTGTGTTGATAAACACTAACACTCAGAAGGCAATTTGGCACATGCCCATTTAGCAAGAGTACAGTGGTCGGTTACCCCTCCGGGGCTTATAACCTCCTGATTCACGGTAGTTTAACCAGGTTTACAGTACTAGTTACCAGGAAGGATTTCCTTCCTGTTGATCAGCTCTGACTCAAGAACGGCTGATTGCCTCATAGCCTTTGTGTTACCACTGTACCAGCAGGTGCATCCTCAGGCATTTCTTTAGATCTGGGATCATAAAGCCTGTGTCTTTGAGAACTGTGGTAGATACTCTTGGTTGTTAACTACATCTGGAATTAACTGCAAACCCAAGCTGCTGTGGGGTAGTTTTTGTTAATTGGACCTTTTGAGGTAAGAAGACCCAGCTTAAGTCCAATCATTTGAGATCAGAAGCCCCACCCTAAATTTGGGCCACGCCTTCTCGTGGCAGCCTATTTAAGGGACAAGGAAGAGGGGAGGTTTTGCTCTTTGCCTGTTTGTGCTTGCTCTAGCTGGAATGTCCATTCCTTCGCTGTTACTAGAGCCTACCTCTTTAAGATCCTGATGTACACCCAAGACATCCGTCCTCGTGGACCGAAAACCTCCTGGACATTGTTGAACTAGCAGGGCCACAGCCTGTAAGCTACTCTAATGATCTCCTGTATGTAAACACAGCTGTTTACTAGGTTCTGCTCCTCTAGAGAATCCTGACTAATACAGGAGGCAAGGGCTGAATTCTCAAAGACAGCCCCCATCTCCAGTTATGAGTTTAAAGGAAGAAGTAGTGTGGGGGTGGGTTGGGGGGGTGAACTAGTGCTTCTTCTTTTTTTTTTTCTTTTTTTTTTTTATCAGTTTCAGAACTATATCTAACCACACATTTTTCTGATTAAACAAATTCTGAGTTGGGGACCAGGGATAGTCAGGAGCTCTGGTGGCGGTTCTCGATTGTCGACTACTGGAACTGAAAATTCTCCACTAAACAAATTCTGAGTTGGGGAACACAGAAAGATCAAAGTGAAATCCCAGTGTTCTTAGTTTAGGGGAAGTGGACTTCATTGTACAGTAGAAAAGCTGATTACCAGGAGGTGTGTGGAGGGAGAGAATGAGGGGCTTGTGGTCTCCACAATCACAGTGTGTCTAGACACTGGGCTGACGACAAGTGTGGAGGTGGTTGTCATTGTTTAGCTTCAGTTGACCTTTTGTTGTGGTTGCTTTATGAGAGCGTGACCTCCAGAAGAGATCCCTGAAGATGCTGGCCAAAACCAAGCTAGAGGAAGCATCTTGGATGCTTGCATTTTCTCTGAGAAAACAGAGCCTTGGTGGCATGTTTTTTAAAAAAACAAAACAACAACAACAAAAAAACCAGAGTTTTAAAAGGTGATGCATTGAAGAAAGTTGGAAAATATCTGTGGAAAATTTTGTTCCAAATTCCATCTGAACACTAGTGACCCAAAAGACGTGACTAGTGTTTGTCTTACAAGCCTCTCACAAATCATCTTTTCTCTTAAAGAGAAATAAAAATCTCTTGCAAAACTTTGATCTTGCCCCCTGACTTCTCCTCAGTCACTAGACAATGAGCTGATCAAAAGACCAGAGGAAAAGCAAAGATGAGACTTACCAGAAGCACGTACCCAGCATGCACAGCCACCATGGTAAGCAGGTTGGACTCAGCCAATAACAATCTAAGAGTTCACCCCATTAGTGGGAACAGCAATTGTGAGACTTCCCTGACAAATTCGTCATAACAACCAAGGGAACAGAAAGAGCATTTAGAGACACACCTACCCCGCTGGCCAGGTTGTTCCTGATAGCAGGGAGAGAGTTAAAAAAAAAATTCAGAGAAAAACTGCAGAATGTACTGATTAGTAACCAGCTGTGTCCTTCACAGCCTTGGATAAACGTAGCCCACCAGAAATAATTGCCTGAGTGAGTGTGACCAATAAGTTTAAAAGCTAATCAAAGTGTCCAATTAGGTTTAAACAAGTTTTGCTGTTGCTACAGCCTGCCTATGCTAAAGTATAAAAGGTGTGTGCTTCAGAAATTCAGGGCCCTTCCTCCTGTGAGAGTGAAGTGACCCTGACACGTCGGAATAAGAATTCCTCCTGCTGTTTGCATCAATATCAGTCTCTGTGTCTCTGTGCACTGCGTGTCCCGGAGTTGAGACTTTCGAGTCCAACACAGTGAGTCTACTGTAATAAAATGTACAGCCATAAAGATACAACTCTATGTGTGTATAAGTCTACAAACTAGTTTTAGCTTTAAGCTGTGGTGTAGTTCCAGTAATGAACAGTAGGTGGCAGTAAGGAGCCCTTCCTTTCAATACAGAAAGCAGTTGCAGGTTGGAGGAAGTAGGTGCTTGAATTTCTTACTGCTCTGCCGGACAGGCAGGTTGTCTTGGTAAGTAAAACAAATTACTCTATTTTTAACAACAAGGACAGTGCTAGTTGCCATGTAGAAATGGAAAAGGTGTCTGTGATCAAGTTGTGGATGTTTCTCTAAGTAGCCTATTTAGTTACTGTGACTGTGTGATCTGAAACTAGTATTTGTCCAATCTAAATCAGAGAAGAGCTTCCCTTCACGTGATTTGTTTTCAAGACCTTGTGTGTTACTCTGTGTGTGTGTGTGTGTGTGTGTGTGTGTGTGTGTGTGTGCATGTGTAAGGCAATGAGTACTTAGTTACAGGTGTTTTTGGGTTTTGGACACAGCTGTTTTGATATTAGATGACCTTCCTAATCTCTCCTTCTCCCCATCCACATTCCTCTCAGTGAAATGTTCCGGAAGACAGGACATGTTGTGACCCACATACACTTGAGTGTGTCTGCCAAGAGTCCATGTGTTGGATACCTTCTCTGAGGCACGAAGAAAGCAAAAGCTCAGTCTGACTATGGCATTTGGAGGTGGTACCTTGGAAGGAAACTAGCAGGGGTCAGACCGGAATGATATATATGTCCCCAGCTCTTGCCATGTGCTGCACTGGGATTCTGCTAGTAAGGTCATCGTGGGATGTGACTGACCCCTTGTCTGTGGAACAGAACTGTAAGTAGAATTAACTTCTTTTCTTTATCAAGCAGTCTGTCCCAGGGCAACGAAAGGAGACCGTATAGTATAGTTCATTTCTCCTGGAGAAGCACTGTAATGCACGGCTCCTTGGTTTTAATGGGGAGGCTTATTTTTGGTTTTCTTATGGGTTACTCTTACTAGATACTCTTGTCTGTTTGCTCAGACTATTGACACTGGAGCTGGAAGTCAAGGTGGAATCGTAGGTTCTGAAAATGCTCTCAGGCCACATCCAAGTTGATCAGTGCAGAAGTTTCCACAGCCTCACTGGAAGCCAAGCAGGAATGCTCTTGCCCTCTGTCCGGCCTTCCAGGACGGTTAATAGTTACCCTGGCACAGAGAAAGCTTTTCACGCATGTTTGCAGAACTAAGCTTACTGAGCGAGGTTCATTGTGTAGGTGTTGCCATTTAAAACCAGCCAAATCCTGATTTGGTGTCCCCGGAGTGTCTGAGCAGAGGTAATGCAAACATGCCACTTCCTTATGTCGTTTGGTGGCAGCTAAGCTTGTCCTGGATCATAAAGACAGACACAAATATATCTGAAGATGTTTCATGCTTTTAAAGTTTCCGTTTAGTTTTTCCTTTCATTCAATTAACAGATCATCCTTTTTGTTCATGTTAAAGTGGTTTGGGGGTTCTGAAAGAGACGGGAGTCAGTGACTATCGATAAGACGTTGATCAACAATACTTTGGCAGGGCATGGTGCTACACACCTGTCATCTCCAAAGTCTAAGGACTGAGGTAGGAGTGTCACTGCAAGTTTGAAGCCACCCTGGTCTACGTGGCTACAAACTGAATTCCAGGCTAGGCTGGGTTACACACTGAGAGGGTGTCTAAAAAAAAAAAAGAAATAACAACAACAAAAACAAAAGAAATAGTAACAAGTTTCTTTTTGTTTGGACTAGAAAATTTAGACATTGATTTTTAGTGACTTTAGTGAGTTTATTATCTACAATTTAGAGATTCTACAAATATCTAAAATTCATTTCTTTGTATATATACTTTGATTTCTTTAAAAAATTAGTTCTTTATTTTTGAGTGTGTGTGTTTGCATGTGCACATGTGGAAATCAGAGGACAGTTTATGGAGGCTGATTCCCTCCTACTGTGTGTGCCCCAGGTTGTCAGGGCTGGTGGCAACTGCCTTTACCTGCTAAGCCATCTCACTAGCCCTAATATTTTGATTTCTTTTTTAGAAAATTATTTATTTTTTATTTAATGTGTATGAGTACAATGTAGCTGTCTTCAGACACACCAGAGGGCATCAGATTCAATTACAGATGGTTGTGAACCACCATGTGGTTGCTGGGAATTGAACTCAGGACCTCTGGAAGAGCAGTCAGGGCTCTTAACCGCTGAGTCATCTCTCCAGCCCTTGATTTCTTAATTATACAAATGAAGAGTAGTTTCAGACACTAAGAACCTCCAATTAGTGACTTGAAGTAAAAGGGCTCCGGAGTCAACTGATTTAGGTAAGTGCAGAGCAGAAGCACACTGTTCACATGCTTGGGTCAGGCTGTCTCATTACGTACCTGGCCATAGGTAGATTCAAGCCCTTTGAGGCTTTGGCTGTTAAGGGAACAAAGATACTTCGTCTTGCTCATAGAGACCTCTCCACATTTTATGCCCAACAGTACTGACTACTGCCTCACTGAAGTCTAGGCTTGATTTGGGGGAAAGTCTCTGATAGAGATACACACGTGGAAATAACTAGAGAAGCCCAAGTCTTAAGCCCAATTATGTTTTCTTTGACCTGATTATAATATGTGATTCTGTCCTGGGATACTGAACCCTGGCCAGTATCCAGGGATTACCCAGGGGGTAACTGGGTATTATTTTGATTCTCATTGTCTTCTTAAAATTGGGCTGCCATAAGAAGAATGATAGTGACCTTTAAATGACAGGATCCTAGGGCTCTGGGTGTAGCTCACGGAATAGAGCTTGCCTGGCATGTTCTGGGTCTTGAGTTTGATCCCTGGGACCACACACACACACACACACACACACACACACACACACACACACACTCACCCCAAAACAAGAGAAATGTATCCTGGTATTGCTAAAAGCTGGAAGTCCATGTTGAGGGTGCCCTATGCTTGGGACTTGGCAAAAGATCTCTTATTGTGGATGGCCAACATCTCATGTCTTCTTGGAAGAAACAGAGAGAGCCCTATGAAGTCCTTTTTGTAGGGACCTTTATCCAATTCTTGAGATTTCCGTCTCTATGACCTCTACCTTCCCAGGGGCCTGTGTCCTAACCTCACCTCCTTGGAAATTCAAGTTCAAATATTTCGGGGGGGGGGGAGCTCACCGATTCAGCCCCATAACACTCATTTAAATATGGCTCCTTGTGTCGGTCGCTTTTTGGGGTGCTGGTCTAGGGTAACTGGAACATTCCTAGGTCTTTCCTAGAGCAATCGATGCCATGAGAAGTCTGGCCTTGCTTTTCCCACGAATCTTCATACTCCCTCATCTTTCTTGCTCAGAGAGCTTGTGAATGCAGCTGGTGAAGAACTCGGCGAAGCGAGGGCAATCATTGACACCTCTACAGAAACCTAAGTCCAGGGAAGGTTCTGGAAAGCAGAGAGGTCAGCATGCGTAGCCTGGAACTTCTATAGCTCAGGTCTATTTCTGAGAATTGAATTCTTTAGACCTGTCTATGCCATCTGATGTACGGTGAGGGACGTGTGGACAGGAATCTGGCTCTTGGTTGGTCCTGATGTCTTGTTTTTCTAGTCACATTCCAGGGAGTTTTAAAATCCACGGAGGGAACTGCATAGGTGTGCAGCCTTCATTTAAAGCTCCTCTTAGGTTCATCTCAACACAGCTGCCTTTGTTCTCATATCCCACAGGACAGGTGACAACAGGACAGCATCCGAGGTCATATGGGTTGATAACCAGAGCAATGGGAACAACCCCAAACAATGCCTCACACTTGAGAGGGGGAAATATCCATTTGATGAATGAATGAAAAAAGATGTTCTGAAGCGTTTCCATCTTTAAATCCCTCCAATATTGGCTGAATAAATGGATGGATAGATGCATGCATTATTATAACTCCGTATCTTTTTGTTTAGGATCTGTTGTGGTTTGAATGCCAAGTGCCCTCACAGGCTCATGTATTTGACCACTTGCTCTCAGTTAGTGGTGCTGTTTGGGGAGGCTATGGAGTCTTTAGGAGGTGGAGCCTTGTGGAAGAAGTAGGTGTCACTCTGGGGTGGTTTTTAAGGATTTCTCAGTTTCTCTCTCTCTCCCTTCTCCCCTCTCCCCTGTACCCTCTCCCCTCCCCTCTCCTCTCCTTTCCCCTCTTCCCTCTCCCCTCTCTTCTCTCTCTTCTCTCTTCTCTCTTCTCTCTTCTCTCTTATCTCTTCTCTCTTCTTTCTTCTCTCTGGATGAAAATGTGACTATCCAGCTCCCTGCTCCAGCAGCCATGGCTTCTATACCGGAACGGACTCTGCCCCTCCCCCAACCAAAAACTAAACCCATTCTTCCTCAAGTTGCTTTTATCACAGCAGAGAAAAGTGACCAATATAGAAGCTAACCCTAATTCCTTGCCATGACCCACAAGGCTTCGAGTGATCTTGGCCCTAAGTCTCTTTACCCCACGCTATCCCTGACTTCCCTGTTCCCCAGACCAGCTCACCTCAGCTCTATCTCAAGACTTTGTGTTTGCCTTCTCTTTTGCAAGAAGGACTTTTCCTTTGGCTCTTTGGATTCATTGCTGTGTCTACCCCCGGGGGTCATCTCAGAAAGGCTTTCTCTAGTGAATCATTTAAAACGAATTACTCAGCGTTGCCTCAGTGGTTATTGTTAACCCTATTCATTTCTCTAGATTACACTTAACCACTACATGAAATTAAAATTAGTTGTTTATTAACAGGTCTTTGACTTGACAGTCAGACTTTGTCTTCTTCTGTCTAGGCCCTGTGTTCTGTGTCTAGATCCTAAAACATGGCTAATGGATGAGTAACATATTGGCTGGATAAATAATGGATGGATGAATGAATGAATAAATTACCGTTTACTGTGATCTTTATCAGCTTTTGAATAAGACCAAAATTAGTCCCCAAAACCTGTGTAGGTGACAACGAGTGATAGCAGGGAGGTCATGACACAGTGACCCAGAGGTCTCTAAAAAAGTTGTGGGACACCTGAACTTCTCATGTCGAAGCATTAAAAGGCATGAAGTGAGTCTCAGCCTGGCTTCTAAATGTGTTTGAGAGGGTCAGAGCCAGGGGAGTGTCTTAGTCAGGGTTAGTATTAGTGTAATAAAACACCATAACAAAGAAGCTTGGGAAGGAAAGAATTTTTTTGGCTTACACTTCCATACCATAGTCCATCATCGAAGGAAGTCAGGACAGGAACTCAAACAGGGCAGGAACCTGGAGGTGAGAGATGATACAGAGGCTACGGTGGGGTGCCGCTTACTGGCTTGGTTCTGGTTTGCTCAGCTTGCTTTCTTATAGAACCCAGGACCACCAGCCCACGCATGGCACCACTTACAATGGGCTTGGCCCCCTCCCATCAGCCATTAATTAATTAATGCCCTACAGCTGGATCTTAGGGAGGCATTTTCTTAATTGAGATTTCTCTTTTCAGTTAACTCTAGCTTGTATCAAGTTAACATTAAGTTATCCAGGATGGGGAGTTTCCATGGACCATTCGTGTTCCAACCCTACAGCTCCTGCAATAAATCGTCATGAATTTAAGTGGCTTAAAACAATGGCAGTTTATTCTGGAGACCGAAAGTACAAAGCCAGGCATCGGCAGGGCTGTGGTGTCTCCAGAGCCTCCTCCAGTTCCTGCCATATAAATAGTTGTTTGGGGCTAGCAAGATGGCTGAGTGGGTAAAGGCACATGCTGCCAAACCTGAGAAACTGGGTTCAATCACGGAGTCTCCCATTGTGCAAGGAGGGAACTGACTCCTCCCACAAGTTGTCCTCCACACATGTACTATGACATACACTCACACACACACACACATACACGCCTATGTATATATCTATATCTACATCTATATCTAATGCCTATTCATTCTCTATCTATCTATCTATCTATCTATCTATCATCTATCTATCTATCATCTATCTATCTATCTATCATCTATCTACCTATCATCTATCTATCTATCATCTATCTATCATCTATCTATCTATCTATCTATCATCTATCATCTATCTATCTATCTATCATCTATCTATCTATCTATCTATCATCTATCTATCATCTATCATCTATCTATCTATCTATCTATCATCTATCATCTATCTATCTATCTATCTATCATCTATCTATCTATCTATCTATCTATCTATCTAATCTGTTCAATAGAGTTTACACTATCTATTGTTTATCTATCTACCATCCATCTAATTTATCAACCTTCCTGGTTTTGAAGTGTATAACTCTAAAGAATGTAGCCTTCATTTCATGAATCTCTAATAAGAAAAAATTTTAGTGCCTAATTTCATATAATCATGTAATGTGAATTTTTCCTAGGACCTATACCCATGTGGAGATGCTCTGAAGAATAGCAGCGACCTCAGGAATGTCTATTGCCATACAATGACTAGAACAAATTCCCTCATCTTCTATTGTGTCATTGTCTTAGGACTGACATTTATCAAAATCCAGTTATCTGACGAAAGTGAGATTATCGTTAAGAGGCCAAATGCAAACCTTACCAGTGTGCCCAAGGACCTACCCTTGCGAACAACTACTTTAGATATATCACAAAACAAGATATCTGAGCTTTGGACTTCTGACATCCTCTCATTGTCTAAGCTGAAGGTCTTGATAATGTCCTACAACAGACTCCAGTATCTTAATATCAGTGTTTTCAAATTCAACATGGAGCTGGAATATTTGGATTTGTCCCACAATGAGTTAAGGGTGATCTCTTGCCACCCAGCAGCCAACCTCAAACATTTAGACCTTTCCTTTAATGCATTTGATGCCCTGCCCATATGCAAAGAGTTTGGCAACATGTCCCAACTACAATTTCTGGGATTGAGCGGTTCTCATGTACAAAATTCAAGTGTGCAGCTGATTGCTCATTTGAACATCAGTAAGGTTTTGCTGGTGTTAGGACACACTTATGGGGAAAAAGAAGACCTCACGTGTCTTCAGCACATTAGCACTGAGATCCTGCATATCATTTTCCCATCGGGAAGAGAATTTCGTTTTCTTGTGGATGTGTCTGTCAGCACTATGATCAGTTTGGAATTGTCTAACATCAAGTGTGTGCTTGAAGACAAGAACTGTTCTTACTTCTTACCTGCTTTGTCAAAACTTAGAAAGAATCTGAAGCTCTCAAATCTTATCCTGAACAATGTGGAAACAACGTGGGATTCCTTCATTAATATCCTCCAGTTGGTTTGGCATACACCAGTCAAGTATTTCTCAATTTCAAACGTGAAGCTACAAGGTCAACTTATCTTCAAAAGGTTCAATTATTCTGGTACTTCTCTGAAGGCTTTGTCGATACATGATCTTGTCACTGATGTATTTAGCTTTCCCCAAAGTTTCATATACAGTACCTTTTCCAATATGAACATCCAAAACTTGACAATATCTGGGACACACATGGTCCACATGCTTTGCCCATTCCAAGTTAGCCCATTTCTGCATTTGGATTTTACAGATAACCTTTTAACAGACACGGTTTTTAAGGATTGTAGAAACTTAATTGGATTGAAAACACTTAGCTTACGAAAGAATCAGTTAAAAAACTTTGAAAATATAATTCTTATGTCTGCGGAGATGACATCCCTACAAAAACTAGACATTAGCCGGAATTCTCTAACGTACAGTGATGGGGAAAACCAATGTTCCTGGCCCCAGAGTTTGTTAGTTTTAAATTTGTCTTCAAATTTGCTTACAGGCTCTGTCTTCAGATGTTTACCTCCCAAGGTCAAGGTCCTTGACCTTCACAACAACAGGATAATGAGCATCCCTGAAGATGTCACCCGCCTGCAAGCTTTGCAGGAACTCAATGTAGCATCCAATTCTTTAACTGACCTTCCTGGATGTGGGGCCTTCAGCAGCCTTTCTGTGCTGGTCATCGACCATAACTCAGTTTCCCACCCCTCTGAGGATTTCTTCCAGAGCTGTCAGAATATTAGATCCTTATCAGCGGGGAATAACCCATTCCAATGCACATGTGAGCTGAGGGAGTTTGTCAAAAACATAGGCCAGGTATCCAGAGAATTGGTGGAGGGCTGGCCTGAATCTTACAGGTGTGACTACCCAGTAAGCACTAAGGGAACCCTACTGCAGGACTTCCACATGTCTCCACTATCCTGTGATACCATTCTGCTGACTGTCATCATCGGGGCCACTATGCTGCTGCTGGCTGCCACTGGGGCCTTCTTCTGTCTCTACTTTGATCTGCCCTGGTATGTGAGGATGCTGTGTCAGTGGACACAGACCAGGCACAGGTCCAAGAACATCCCCTTAGAGGAACTCCAGAGAAAGCTCCAGTTCCATGCTTTTGTCTCATACAGTGGGCTTGATTCTGCTTGGGTGAAGAACGAATTACTACCAAACCTAGAGAAAGATGACATCCGGGTTTGCCTCCATGAGAGAAACTTTGTCCCTGGCAAGAGCATTGTGGAGAACATCATCCACTTCATTGAGAAGAGTTACAAGTCCATCTTTGTGCTGTCTCCCCACTTCATCCAGAGTGAGTGGTGCCATTATGAACTCTACTTTGCCCATCACAATCTCTTCCATGAAGGCTCTGATAACTTAATCCTGATCTTGCTGGAGCCCATTCCACAGTACTCCATTCCTACCAATTATCACAAGCTCAAAACTCTCATGGCACGGAGGACCTATTTGGAATGGCCGACAGAGAAGAACAAACATGGACTCTTTTGGGCAAACCTAAGAGCATCTATTAATGTTAAGCTGGTTAACCAGGCAGAAGCAACGTGTTACACACAGCAATAAGAATGTTCACCCCATCGGTATTGCTGCTCTGGGAGTTCTAATAATGGTACCATTTGTATCAGCAAGAACATAAAAATGATTCTGACTTTATGATGTGGGAATTTGTGCTTTTTAGCCCGAGTTTGCCACTAGTGTTTGCTAATAGAAATTAGCGGGATACTATAATTTGGGTTGAAATCATTCATTTCCTTTTTCTTTTTTTTTCAAGACAGGTTTTATTTGTTTTTTAAGACATAGTTTATTTGTGTAGTCTTCCCTGTCCTGGAACTTGCTCTGTAGAGCAGACTGCCCTTAAACTCACAGAGATCCTCCGGTGTCTGCCTCCTGACAACTTGCATTTAAAAAAATTGTTTTCTGTTATAGGTGTCTTGCCTGCATGCATGTCTGTGTACTGTGTACATGCCTGTGTTTCAGAGGCTACTGAAGGGCATTAGAGTCATTGGAACTGCAGTCATGGACAGCTGTTAGCTGCCATTGCGTGCAGGGACTTGAACCTGGGTCCTCTGCAAGAGTAGCTAGCGCTCTTAATTGCTAAGTCATCACTCCAGGTCCCTTCAAACACTTAAGGGATCCATTTGTTCCTTTTGCTATAATTACATTTATTAAATTTACCATGGAATCAGAAAAAGAAGCCCTTTCCTCTGCAGATGTGTGTATTTCTGTGTGCCTGGTCAACAGTAGAAAACTCCAACTCCACTTTGGGTTGACTTCCTCATTCTTTCTGGGATCACCTTGAATCCCTTCACTCTTAGGCCTGGATGTTACTTTTCCAGATATAGAAAGAGTAATGAAATTAGAACATACAGTGAAGTCCAGCGGTTATTTACTTAGCCATTTTAGAAATAATAGGTAGTTAATCTCAGCACCTGGGTGACAGAGGTAGGTAGATCTCTATGAGTTCAAGGCCACACTGATGTACATAGTTGAGTTTCAGGATAGCCAGGGCTCTGTAGAGAGACCCTACCTCAAAACAAACAAACAAACAAACAAACAAACAAACAAACCAAAAACCCAGAAACAATAGGTTAGGTGTTTCATTGAAAGATCTTGAAAGAAGCCTCAATATGTAATAGTGAAGAATGGAAAGGCCATTATAATAAAGAGAGCAAAGGCTGGGATGCCCAGACTTATTCTGGAGCTAGTGCCCCAGCATGGTTTAAAATGAGGTTTATGACAAAAGAGATTAGCATATAGTTGTCAATAATTAAACCATAGTGCAGTCAGCCGCTGGTGCATACCTGCAACTCAGCAACTTCTAGACTGAGGAAGAAGGTTCCTGAATTCCAGGTCAGCCTGGGCTATATAGTTAGATCCTATCTCAAGGAGGAAGAGGAGGAGGAAGAACAGGGGAAGCGTATTGTCAATGGTCTTAATGAGAGTACTGAGACTATTGAACTGGGGGCTCACGAAACACAACTTAATGTCTACAGAACTCAATAGGAAGTGGCTATAAACCATGAGTCGTGGAAACTGGTATTCTGAAAGGGAGTTGCAACAGTCTTAACTGGCTTCTTCCATTTCCTCCAGATCTGCTATACTTCCCAAATTACACTTCTAGATTTCACAATCCAGCAATTTTATAGTAGCTTCCGGGATTTCTGTGCAGAGACCACTTTTGCACAGACTGAACCATTGAAGTTTGTTGGCTTCCTGTTCTGGGCCCAAATGTTTACAATCATGGTGTAAGCAGCTTGGCTCCTTGTAAGAGCAGAGAGGGAAGGCCCTGCTCTCCTGCTTCCTCTTGATTTGCATTTGGTTGTTTGCTCCCAGTGCTTTTCCCCTTGTCTGCATATCTGCACGTCTGCATTTTACCCTGTTTACATGTCTGCTTCTATAGGCTAATTTCCCATTTTCATACAAAACCCCAAACGGTAAGAGACTAGTATATGGTTGTCAACAATGAAATAAAACCGTAATGCAGTCAGCCATGCTCATGCATACCTGAAACTCCGGCAACTCCAGCAACTTGACAACCATATGCTAGTCTCATACAGACTTCTACACTCTGGCCTTCGTCTAATACTAATGTTTCTATCTTAATTACACCTACAATACTCCCATTTTGGAGAAAGACCCCACTCTGAAATACTGAGGTTCAGGGATACAACCTCTTGGTTGATGCAGTTCAGCCCCCGACACCTCTTAAGTCTAAAGGGTGGTTTCTATAAGGAACACAGAGCCTCTTGGAGATTATACAACAAAGCCAGGATTTTGAGACGTCAGATCAGCCCTGTATGTGGACAGCTAAACCCATGAACAGCTGCAGGAGGTGACAAAGAGGCTGCAACTGCATTTGTGGCATCTTCTGCTGAATTCTAAGCTGAAAGATGAAGAATTCAAGTCAACGTATAGATAAAAGTGAAGCAATAAAGGCAGGTGGTGGAGGCACATGTCGTCAGTGTCAGCACTAGGAAGGCAGATAAAGGCAAATCGGTGAGTTCAACGCTGTCCTCATCTACAGGGTGAGTTCCAGAACAGCTAGAGCTACACAGAGAACCACTGTCTCAAAAAAACAAAAACAAAAGAAGAAGCAGAGGCAACAGAAGAAGAAAGAGAAGAGGACAATGAAGAAGAAGAAGGAAGAGGAGGAGAAGAAGGAGGAGGAGGAGGAGCAAGAGGAGGAGAAGGAAGAGAAGAAGGAGAAAAAGAGAAGGAGAAGAAGGAGGAGGAGGAAGAGGAGGAGGAGGAGAAGGAGAAGAAGAGGAGGAGGAGGAGGAAGTACAGTCTGTTTGGGTTTCAGTTCTAGCTTCTAGATTCACTTGTGATGATTTTAGAGAAGCTATTTAAACTTTCTAAGCTAATTTCATTATTTATATTATAGGGTTTTTAAAAAATGTATTCTTGAGGTAGCTAGCCAACACCTCTATATCTCCAGATATGAACTCAAACATGCTCCCCAGAGTGCATTGTTCATAGTGTAGACGTCCCGGTCCTAGTTCCTAGAACTGAGGTATGAGATGTACGTTCTTCCTCTTTGGAATAAACAGGACCCATAAAGGACAAAACCCCCTTTGCAGTGTTCTGCTGAACTAAATGGGGGTGGTTATTCTTCTCATGCATGGATTTCACGGGTCAACAATCCTGGTCTGGAGAAATACTCAGAGTGTAATGAAAAGTGAGAAACAAAAACAGAACATATATAATACAATCTGCATTTTGTTTTCAAATGGGCTAGTTTTAGGTCAATTTGACACAAGCTATAGTCATCTGAGGGGAGAGAACCTTGACTAGGAAATGCCTGCACAAGACTGGGCTGTACATCGCAGGATTAATTGGCTGACCGCAACATAGGCATTTTCTTAATTAGTGATTGATGGGCTGTGGGCATCCCAATTGTGTGTGGGACCATCCTTGGGCTGGTGGTCCTGGGTTCTATAAGAAAGCAGGCCTAGGAAGCCATGGGGAGTGAGCCAGTAAGCAGCAGCACCCCTTCATGGCCTGTGCATCAGCTCCTGCCTCCAGGTTCCCTGCCCTGCTTGAATTTCTGGCTTGGCTTCCCTCAACAGACTATTGATACAGAGTATGTAAGCCAAATACTTTCCTCCTCAATGACTTTTGGTTTTGGTGTTTCATCACAGCAATAGAAAAGTAAGACGCTATTTATACTCATACACATGAGAAATAATAAAACATTAGCAGTAGATAGCAACTTCCACAGTTGATATCTGCTACGATACTTATCAACACATATAGTTTTTATTTTATTAAATATTTTCCTTGTATGTTTTAAATGTTCTATAGTGAACTTATAGTATAAGAACATTTTGCTTAAAAATTGTAGAAAAGTTATTTTTTTTAAAAAAAAACCTAACACTTTCAAAGAAAACTAGACATGAATATGTGAGTTTATCAAGTAAGGAGGCTGCCATTTTCCATTTGCTGCTGTGAGTTCTGAGTCCTGCTTGTTTCCCTTAACTTCATTTTATCTTCCTCTCTTCTGAGAAGAGAACTTGCTGTTAAATATGAATATATCCTGCATGGGACACAGCTTAACTGGTTTTCTAGATACTTCACCAACCATCCTTTCTCTCTTTTCAAAAGTTTAGGCTCAAGACAGTGTCTCATTCTGTAGCCCAGTCTAGTCTTAAACACTGGACAATCCTCCTGCGTCAGCTTCCTAAAAACTAGAACTACCATCAGGAACAACCACACCTGTTCTTTCCTTGGAGAGCCACCACCTAGGGCTGCTCATCTTTGTCTTGGTGCTCACCTATAAGAGGCTAGATGCTCTAGCCTTCAGGTGAAGGAGAAGCCAGGCTGCCCTTGGTCTATGAAGTGGACCCTCCCCTTCCCTGTAACTGAGCTGTTTCCTGAGGCAGAGCAGGACCAGTCACTAATGACACATGGATCCACGTGCTTGGGGGACCTTCACCAATAGAGGATGACATAATTCCGTTTCATCAGATTGTCACACTAGGGGGGGCAGCAGAATGACTGTTTTTATGCAGTGACATAGAAAGGGACAGTGACTTGGTGAGATGTTGAGACCTGTGAAATATTCATGTTCCTTATCTATTAATCACACTTCTGGGAATCTATCCCCTAGAAGTAAATTGAGACATAAACAAATATCTTTTCACAAGTTTGTTAAACTTAAACATTCCAGCTTTCCAGCGAGGGACCGATATACTGTGTTCACTTAAAGACACACACTCTTAAGGTCTTAGAGTTAACGGGCTGGTGGGAAGGCTCCGTGGGTTAAGGTGCTGGCTGCCAAACCTGAGGACTTCAGTTCAGTCCCTGGAAGTCACATATTATAAAGTAACAAGTGACGCTCACAATGCACGCCATGGCACACAAGTGTGTAGGCACAAAATTGTGTATGCGCAAAATACATAAACATAATAAGGTGTTAGGGGTTGAGATGGAGAGTTTTACCTTATGTATTTTTACCATACTTTTTTTAAGCATAGAGGAGGCATTTTATTAGCTGATAAGAATGCTTATACACTCATGACACTAAGCTCAACAACATACAGAACTGCAAATACAGCTTGGTTTCAATTTTAAGATATGCACAGAGAAAGGACTGGCTAGAATATGCAAAATTGTCTGCAGTTCAGTGTTGGGGTTGTGTCTACACTCTCCTGTACATGGAAAGTTTCCAATCAGCAAAGGAATAAAATGGGGTGGAGAAGGAAATTATAAATCTGGGCTCTCTAAAAAACACATTCTCAGAGTTTCTTTTTTCTTGTCTATAAAGACGACACACTAGTGTTTCCTTGGTAAAATGGACTCAAAAAAAAAAAAGAAAAAAGAGAAGAAAAGAAAAGGTTTAAGCTGAAGTTTTACATAAGTGTTCCCCGAAGTGTCCCCAAGGTTAATTCTTTGAGACTACCACTCTTTATTCTGTTCCCTGAGACACCTTATGTAGTCCAAGTTGGCTTCAAAGTTACTCTGTAGCAGAGGATACCCTTCTGATTTGCCTGCCTTCTCCACCTCCCAAGAGTGTAGGTTACAAGTGCAAATTGCTTTAGGTAGGGCTGAGAACAGAAGCCAGAGCTTAGTCCACTCTAGGCACGCACTCTCCCAACCGAGCTAAGACCCCAGCCCTTTGTTTTCTTTTTATTAGTAAGTAAAATTTCCCAGTTCCTGGCTTGTGTGGTGACAGGAAAGCAGCATCTGTGAGAATTCAGAAAGGAGCTGAGTTCTCCGGCTCACTCGCATTCTCCCTGCCAATCATCTCTTCCGATGCC